TGTCTTACCTTTATGATAGTCTGAACATATGTGTATGTATATAAAAAACCTTAGTTCATATGTTGCCGGTGTATATATGATATTTAGGGCTTACCATGTATTGCTCATTTTTTTTTTTTTTTTTTGGCAAACAACCGATCTATTGGAAAAAGCGGAATATAGAAATCACCCGCTATTATTGGATTGATGTTGGTCTCTAATTCAAGTAATGTAGCTTAAGATTTAAAGTTATTATTAACAAGTGTGTGTTGACTACAATCATTGTGTTGTTTTTGATGCTTGTGCTCTTGGTAGAACTTGCGTAGTTTCTCTCGGTGATGCTTATTTCTCCCCTTACTCCTCAACTCAACAGATTGGTCCCTGTGTTTTCTTTAGGTTTGGTCTAGTAGTCTGATTTTTTTCGTAAGCTATTTATGTTGTGGAAAGTTTTTGTCCTTCACCTATGATGATTATTTTGCAGGGTATATTAGTCTAGCTTTGCTGTCTTAATCTTTTAGAACTGTATTACTCCAGAACTCATTTAATCTTTCTCTTTCCCTGTTTCCTTTTTTATTATTATTTTTAAATCTTTTTTTTTTTTTTTACAGTCCAGTCATTTTACTTCTCTTTGTCCACCCTCTGGCTGTTCCTCATTCCATACTTCTTCCCCACCCACACCCACCTCACCAGACCTCCCCACTCCCTGGGGCCTCAAGTCTTTCTGGACTTGTCTTCTCTGACTGAGTCCAGACCAGGCAGTTCTCTGTTGTGTATGTGTCAGGGGGCTCATATCAGCTGGTGTATGCTGCCTGGCTGGTGGCTCAGTGTCTGAAAGATCTCGACAGTCCAGGTTAGATGAGACTGCTGGTCTTCCTATGGGGTTGCCCTCCTACTCAGCTTCTTCCAGGCTTTCCATATATATATTTATATATAGTATATATATTATATATACTATATATAATATATATATCAATATATTAAGTCTTAACTTTTATTTACTTTTGTTGGGGGAGTGTGTTGACAGTGGGGACAGCTTGTGAAAATTCTCTCTCCTTTCACAATATGGAGATAAAGGAATCTAATTCTGGTTGTCCAGCTTGGATTCAAGGACTTAACTTGCTGAACCGTCTTACGGACAGCCTCTCCTCTCCCTTTGCTTATTCTAGTTAAGAAACCATGGTTTTAAAGTTGAAAATCTAATACATTGAAATTTATTTACTAAAATAGTTTTTTAATGAATGCTTGATATTATGGTGGAAAGATTTTGTATAAAATATATAGTGTGTCAGTAGCAGTGCTAGGTACTGGGATCATAAGGAACTTCATGTTTTTGTCATGAGTTTCAAAGTTCTTTGACATTTTTACAGAAAAAATGGGACATCAGCAAAGAAAGAAACTATTAGTAAACTAAGATGGAAGCTACTCAGTAGTTTGTGGTGTGGCAAACCATGTAAGTCAGTCTCTTCATTTCTTTTGTCCAATAGGGCTGGGAAGAAGCCAAACGACGTGGCTTCAGATATGAAAAGGATTACTGCTGGGAATACTTTCTGTCTTCCAACACCCTACAGGTAATACTGAAAGGTGTACTAGTCCCATAGACTAGTATATAGACATCTGTTTTGTCCAATGTTATCTGTAGGAAACATTAACTACATTCAAAGAGAGAGGAGAGAGAGAGAGAGAGAGAGAGAGAGAGAGAGAGAGAGAGAGAGAGA